TGCTTGGCCTGCTGTGTTCATCCAGCTCTATACCTTGTTATCACTGAGATGCTGCTTTGCACAGCTGGTTTTCCTATGGGGGGCCCACTGAAAGAGCTGGCTATTTCATTTCAAAATGGCCTATATACACAGGATACTAACAATTTCATTTTTTTTTAAAATTCATTCATGAGAAGTGGGCATCACTGGCTAAGCATCTATTACCTATTCCCAATTGCTCTTGAGTAGGTTGTGGTGAGTGGCCTTCTTAAACCAATGTAGTCCTTGGAGTTTAGGTGCACCCATGATACCAGCAGGGAGAGGGTTCCAGGATTTTGACCTAGCAACACTGAAGAACAGTGAAATATTTTCACTGGAATGGGAACTTGTAGGTTGTGGTGTTCCTATATATCTAATACTTTTGCCCTATGTAGTAAAAGTTGAGCATTTAGAAGGTGCTGTCTGAGGTGCCTTTGGTGAGTTGTTCCAGTTGACCTCGCAGATAGCACACATGACTACCATCGTGCATCAGTAATGGAGGGAGTAAATATCAAGGATGTTACCATAAAGCTGACATATAGGATTTCATGTGTTGATATTGTGACACAACTTTGTGACAGCACCGATGAAATGCACTTCCCACGATCACCCCAGGATATGTTTATCAGCCCCAAAAATACCAGAGACAACCAGAACAGCCAATTTAAAAATGGATCTTTTGCACTGACCCGGCTACTGGCAGCAATGAGACTTTTGATATGTGAACCAACATCTGAAGAGCAGTGTTAAAACAGCTTTGACTGGCTTTCAAGACTCCTTCTAAATAAGTTCCCCATTCCATCCTAATAGCATATAATGTGTTGCATTCCGAAACAAAATGCCTGTGAAACAAAGTGTACTCCTCATGTCTCTTATTGATTCCTGAGCATTCGCTTGGACTTAGTCTCTAGAAAGCATTTTGCCAGCAAGACATAGAGGAGATGGGTATCCTCTGAGCTCCAACTCCTGACCTTACTTCCAAAGCCCCAGAGCCTTCTGCCTGTGATGCCCAACCTTATAATTCCACAACACCCTGCCACAAAGTCATTTACACCTTTGTCTTCTGTAATCCCGGAAGTCCATCTGCTGATTCCCAGGATCCCTGGGAGTTCCCTTGCTGACTCTCCAGCCGAAAGAGAAAGCTCCCACCTCTATGGTTTTGTTTCTTTTCAATGAGTGTACATTTTACGAAAACCCTCGTTGCAATTATTGGGTGAAGCTCCCAGTAGAAATGCAAAAGTTACAATATCCAAATATGAAAAATGAGCAACCTATTGAGGCAAACCGGACACATGCATGATTTAGACACTGAACTTTCACACCTTAGAAAAACAAACAAAAACTCAAGTCTTTGCTCGAACTCGTCAAAACCCCATATTTGACAATCTTTTATGTTCTTTGATCTTTTTTTCTTTACTCACCGATAAATAAAGAGATACTGCTCCTTGTAAGTCTTTCGTCCCAGGGGCTTGCTTAGTACAAAGGAGTAATGGTTTTTAGCTTGTCTGCAGATGTGGAAAAGAAATAGAAAGGTAAGTGCTGCTGTCATCAGCCCTTTGGATTAAAATCCTAAAGGGTGGATTTTATTGGGGAACAGATCCCTGGCCCTCCACCACAAGTCAAAAGTCTGCAGATAATATGTTGGGAGTAGCCTTGATAAGTTAAGAATGGGGCTTTCATTCCCATCAAGGAGAATGTCCCAACTTAGAGGGCTCAAGAATTCCATCAACACCAGAGGAGTTTAGTGGCTACTGCTGGGAGTACAGGTAATCCACAGGAAGAAGAGAAGATGGATACTGAGTAGGACCCCCGTAAGTGAGAGGATGGAGGTGAGGGTGTGTAGTCCTTCTCAGCCTATTGCAATGACACATCTGGGACTCTCCTCCCTGATCCTACTCAATTCGAAGCCACAAAGCAAAGATACACTTGATTGATAAGTGGGATGGTAGGGTTTAACTTATAAAGAAAGATTGGATAGGTTCGGCCTTTATCCATTGGAGCTTAGATGATTGAGAAACGATCTTTATAAAACACATGCTGAAAGGATGTTTCTTCTTATGGGAAAGAGGCTAAATTACATGGGACACTGCCTGAAAATAGACAGACTGTCATTTAGAGGCATAGAGTCATACATTACGGAAATGGACCCTTCGGTCCAAACAGTCCAAGCTGAACATAATCCAAACTAAACTAGTTCCACCTGTGTGCTCCTGGCCCATGTCCCTCTAAACCTTCCCTATTCATGTTCCTATCTAAGTGTCTTTGAAATGGTGTAACTGCGCCCACTTCCACCAATTCCTCAGGAAGTTCATTCCACGCCAGAACCACTGCTGTGTAAAAAAATTGCCCCATGGAGACATTCTTTGTCTGTGAGGATCAGGAATCTGCAGAAAACTCATGCCTGAAGAGTGGCAGCAGCAGGGTTATTGGATATTTTTAGGGCTAAGCAAGTTAGTAAGAAAGTCAAAGTGTCACTGAAGAAGACAGGAAAATGAAGGCCACAATCAGATTATCCATGATCTTACCAAATGGTGGAGTGGAAACAAGACTGAATGGTCTACTCCTCCACCTAATTTATATGCTTGTATGTTCAAAATTGGTGAGGACCAGAGAGAAGATTAACAGGAAGCTCATACAGTGAGGCCTAATGCTGCCTTACAGCCCAACTGAAATATTACACTTTTCATGCTGCCATTAGCTGCTTCCTCACAATACTCTGTGCAAATTCTATCAGAAAGTAGGGCAGGCTTTTGTTGAATTTCCATTGTGTACATCTGTATTTGCATAGCAACCATCGGGAATTACAGAATTGTTACAATGCAAAACAAGACCATTGTACCTACACTGGGTTTCTCAACATTTTGACTAAGTGCCAATCTCTTATCTGCAGTGAACTGCTTCTGCCAACCATCCATCCACTCCACTATCACTGCCATTTTGAAGTTCTGCACAGTTTATAATTCTTCCAAGTTTTGTTAATTGTGAAAACTTTGAAACTGTCCTTTACACATCAAAATCTAGATCATTTACATGTATCAGGAATACCAAAGGACCCAATTCTATTTACAGGGAACTCGACTGCAAACCTTCTTTCAGCCCAAAACTACCAATCAACCATTACTTGCTATTTTCTATCCCTCAACCAATTTTATATCCACATTGCTAGAACAAGAATTCACGGATTTAACATACTTTCCTAACAAAGCAATGATGACTCGAGAAAAAAGTCTTTTCACACAGCAAGTGGTTGGGATCTGGAATGCATTTCTGACAGGGTGACACAGCCAGATTCAGTGGTGACTCTCGAGCGAATTAGATCATAATCTGAAAGGGAAAAATATGCAGGTACGTGGGGAGAAGATGAGGGAGTGACACTGTGCAAATTGCTCCTTTGGAGAACCAATGCAGATACAATGACCCAAAGGGCCTCCTTCTGTGTTATAGCAATTCTGGGATCCCCTGGTAGCTAGGTTCCTACCAGCAGCAATAAGATAACTGAGGAGATAACCTATTTTGCCGGTGATGGTTGAGGTATAGAGACTGACCAAGACTTTGAAAGAACTTTTTTGCTTTGCTTCAGAAAGCAGCACATTGTCACAAAAATCATTTGCTTGGAAGTAAGATCTTGACCAGTAGAGATACACGTTAGAATATTTTGAGAATGGGAAGAGATAGAGTCAAAGAAGAAACCCTTGATAAATTTTCTTTAAAATGTCGATTTTGATGCAAGTTTAGTGCTTTTGGAATTACCATGAATATATATCATTTCCCCTGCTCTGGCATTTACCCACCTTCTTGATTCCACTTGCCACCGTTGACAACATTGTTCCCTGCCAGTGGGGCATTGGGTTCAAGCCTCATTTCAAGACATGAACATATCATCTGGACCCAAGACTTTTGACCAGTACTTGGCAGGTATTAGGGTTGTTACCTTTAGATGAGACAGGTGAACATGCAAAATTCTATGGCAGTATCTGAAATGAAGACGTTTTCCTGGTGTCTAGGCTAAATGTTCCTGCAACAAGCAAACACACTAAAAGCAAGTCAACTGGCCATTCATTCCAATGCTGGCCACACTATGCAAAAAGTGGCTGAGTTGCAGCTGACAACTAAATAGTTTGCTCGATTACTTCAGAGGACAATTAAGATTCAATTTTGTAGTTCAGTTTAGAGTCCAATGTGAATGAGATTCATTAGAAATGGCAGGCTCTCTTCTCGAAGGACTGAATGAATCAGTTAGGCTTTTATGGCAATTGCCAGTTATGTTGAGTTCAATTTCATCACTTGCATACTGAGCTTTGAACTTCTGATTTCTTGGTGACTAGCCAAGTACTACTATCACCAGACTACTACACTGCAGCAGTTGGTTAACTGATTGTACTTACTTATTGAGCTCCTCCATCAGCTTTGTGGTGGCTTCTTCTGTCTTGTCAATGACTTCCATTATCAGGGTAATGTCATAGCGCAATAAAATCTAAGCAAATGTAACAATTTTATGATGTTGTCATGTAACACACAGTAACACGTTGAAATAAATCTTTCAATCTTTCCTTGTGAAAAGTTGGTTGGGTCTTAAGGAAGATCTTCTGAAGGGAATATTCAATGGATCTTGGTAGTTTAATACATTAAATACATTCCAAACCTAAAAATCCCTTGATTTCTAGTTAATAATCAATCAATCTCTATCTCTCTATTACTTTAAATGCAGCATCCTTCCTTCTCTTACAATGGTTGGTTGAAAAGCTGAAAATATTTTTGAGTTTGGCCAAGGTCAGTATAAATTGCTACAAACATATATGCACATGTAAATAGCTGCACAAGAGAAATAATGGTAGATTATTATACAACTGGTGCATAGTAACAGACACATGTTTGAAGACACATTTACACAGAGTCCCTTCACATATTATCTGATATGATGAGAAGGCAAGAGAAGGAGACAGACATGTGAAAATGACTTTGACACTTCATAAAAGAAGATTCAGAGGCAATAAGACAAAGAATATGGAATTTGCTTTCCACATGTTGTGGGTTCAATCATGGGAGTAGATTTAGTTAAGTGGAAAGGTGATGGGTACAAACTTTGCTATTTTCCCATCTCTGCCATGTTTACATTTATGGCAAAGAAACTCATGGACAGCTTACCTGTCCCATCACTAGTTGAGGCTCTTAAGTGGGCATTTAAAGCTTGGGTCATCCAATTACCACTGGTATTCATCCAGTAACAAGTTGGGGGACTCCCCATGAAGGGACCCTAAAAATTAAACACTGGATTGCTTAATCACTCACCTCTACCCTTGGCAATCCCAGACCTCAGGAGAGTTTAATATCAGTAGCATCCACGGCCTCCCTGGTGGCACTGGCGAACAGGGGTAGGCCTTTGGCTGCCTGGGTAAGAGTCTGATGATAATTAATTCAACATACCCTCTCAAAGAGAGGCAAAGCAGAACTGTCATAGGCTTTCCTGACAGCAGTCACCCCCATTAAAAAACAGTTCCCAAAGGGGATTGAATTTCATTGGAATAAAACAATCTGACAATTTATTATACTGAATTGCAACATGCAGTTTTGCAATATGCATCATTTTGAGTCTTTTACACAATTAACATTCCTGAGGTTGCAGTTCCAACTCGGTTAATTGGTTCCGCTGAGTTATTTGCTCACAAACAAGTTTTTTCTACATTTCCTACCATGTGCATGTTGGAGTTGGAACCCAAGGTACAGTTGGCAACAACGATTGTGCATTCGCTTTTCACTTAATCTCTGCAATGTTGTTATTTTTCAAAGATTGTTGAGGTTTGCACATGAGTTATAGAGGTGATTTGAATTGCTTCCTAAACCCATTTTTAGTTGGCTTGAAATATTAGAGTGATAAGCAATCAATACTGTAAAATTATGATGAGACTCACATTGATAATTGTTGACATGACTTTGGGTTTGGAGATTTTGCTTATCCCAAGCCGCTGAATATTAAATGCAGCAATCTTCATCTTCGCTCACAAATGTTTGACTCAGGATTCTAGTAAAGGTAAAGAAACACATCAGCCATATTAACACACAGGCATCTCATTGGCACAAAATGGCTCATTCAAGTAAATTACACTGTTTTATTCTAAGTGGGATTTAATTGACACTTTGTGATTCTGTGTATGAGATTTCTTGCCCTTTCTGAAAAGGAAATATCTGTTTAATTCTGAGTTGGTCATGCATTTTATTTAAGCTTCCTTCATGCTCAATTTTGAAGCAAGTATGGAGTCAAACAAACTAACTAGGTCTTAGGCCCAAACAGTCACCCCTGCAGATGTAGCTAGTCTCAGCTGGGCTAATAGCTAAAATGTTATAATTAGACTCATCGGTCTCTGGGTGATACAAGAGAAAGATCAGCCAAGATTCCTGCTTCTGATCATTTCCAGTGACTTCTCTGGAAAGTGCACATAAGGGAATACTAGGTAAAGGCATTAACTGAGTAGTCTGTTAAGATTCCAAATAATATTCATTCATCTGTGACCTCTTTTACATAAGTTATATGGAGCCGAGCTTGATAGAATATAGCGTTGTCAGAGTATTTAACTTTGGTCTTTGGTGAGTGAGGGGATTCAGTGCAGTATAGGAACTCGACCTGTTCTGGTCTTTTACAAGAGAAGAAGCAGCCCAGGAGTAAGACCAAAAGAGAACATACCTGATAGCTGTTGTCCAAATGCATTACATAGTCAAATGTTTGAATCACAACTGGATAAAGTGGTAAAGAAGATGTCTTCATCGGTTGGGGCATTGAGTATAAAACTTGGCAAGTCGTATTGCAGCTGTATAAGAATTTAGTTAAACCACATTTGGAGTAGTGTGTGAAATTTTGGTCATCACACCAATGGAAGGATGAAGAAGCTTTGCAGAGAGTGCAAAAGAGGTTTAGCAGGATGTTACCTGGATTGGAGTGTATTAGCTATAAAGGAAAGTTTGGACAAACTTGGGATGTTTTCACTAGCATGTCGGAGGCTGAGGGGTGACCGGATAGAAGTGTATAAAATTATGAGAGGCATAGATTGGGTGGATAATCAGAGCCTGCTTCCCATGGTAGAAATGCCAAATACTAGGGGACATAAAGTGAATGAGGGAAGGTTTAAAGGAGATGTGCAAGGCAGGTTTTTACACAGAGGATGCCAGTTACCTGGAATGAGCTGCCGGAGGAGGTGGTAGAAGCAGATATGATAGCAAATTTTAAAAGGCATTTAGACAGACACAAGAACAAGCAAAGAATAGAGAGATGTGGACCATGGGCAGGCAGATGGGCTTAGTTGGGAAAGGCATCATGGGTGATGCAGACATGGTGTTCCTGTGCTTTACTGTTCTATAAGTATGTGGTCCCCGCCTAGTGCCAGGGGTAAGGACATCTCCCCCAGGCTAGAAGGACAGAAATAAGAGGTGGAAGATAGAATTTTGTGAACTATGAGATTGCCAATGAGATAAGAAAGAGTTTCTTCTGAAGGAGCATGAAAGGCTACATTCAAAATTTAAGATCAAGTGTATGGACAAGAGTAATGGTTTTTGGATTACTACCTGGGCCATGAGCCAATTGGTAGAGGGTAAATAATATCAGACAGTTAAATGCATGACTTAAAGTGGGTGTGGAAGAGATGGGTTTCAATTAATGACACACTGGCACTAGCGCTGAGGGAACCGTTCCATTAGATCATAGATCCCCTACAGTGTGGAAACAGGCCCTTCGGCCCAACAAGTCCATGACCCTCAGAGCAATAACCCACCTAATCTACACTATGGGCAATTTAGCATGGCCAATCCACCTAGCCTGCATATCTTTGGACTGTGGGAGGAAACCGGAGGAAACCCACACAGACACGGGGAGAATGTGCATAGAAAAGGTTTAATTTAAACTGAGCTGAGACAAAGTCCTTGTGAATCATGAAACTAGGAGAATAGAGAAGACTTTAAATAAATTGAGGGGACAAGGTTCAGGGGAAGGCACATTTAGAAGATTAAAAAGAGAGAACAAGGTAATAGTGTGGTGTAGCGATACAGATAAGAATAACTAGTCTGTGAAAGGAAGGGATAGAGCATATGAACAAAAGTGTGTACTAGTAATTAGGGTCAGAGCAGGAATTAAGTGGTAACTAGGTGAAATTAAAGTCTTAAACTGACTCCACACATCATGCAGAATGAGATGGATGCATTGGTCGTGTAAGCAGAAATAAATTGCATAATATGTTAGCCATCAGTTAGCAAGGGAAAGAAGTGACTGATGGGAGTAGTTTGTAGAAAAGCTGCCCCCTCCCATCTCCAAAAAATAGTTACACTTTGGAACAAGATACTAATCAAGAAGTAGCAGAATTTGTAAGAAAGGTACCGTAATAATTATTGGGCAATTCTAGGCTTTAAACTAATCAAGTTGGCTGAAGTAACTGTGAGGATGATTTCATAGATGTGTTTGAGACAATTTCTTAGAACAATACATCGTGGAAACAAATGGGGGAGAGGTTATTTTAAATCTGGCAAAGTTTAATGAGGCAGGAATAAATAATGATCTCCGGGTAAAAGATGCTTCCACACGTGTAACTATAACATTATAATATTTCATTTTCAGTTTAGGGGTAGAAAACATGGATCTGAAACAGATGTACAAAGCTAGGGTTGCTAAAATAGACTGGGAAAATAAAATACATGGTGGTTGACCAGTAGTGGAGATATTTTATAAGACTTAACACTGGGGAAATGACTATAAGAAAGATGAACCATTTATGCCTAATCAAGGAACTCCTGAAGTAGAGTCATATCAGACTTAGAACATTAACTCCTTTTTTCTCCACAGATGTTGCCAGACCTGCTAAGTTTCTCCAGCATTCTCTATGTTTATTTAAAATGACATACTGAATGCATTATAAGACTATGTCACTGCGTAAAACAAAATAAAACAGAACTGTGAAACAGAAATATCTGGAGCTACTCTTCAGGTCAAGCAGCATCTATGGAGAGATGAAGCTAGGGTCAATATGTTGAGTTGTTCTTTGTTAGAACACAACATCCTCTTTCCAAAGCCGCAGAGAGTTTACAGCATTTTCTGTTCCTACTCTTCACATTGCACAAAATGTTGTGGTCAGGGTAACAAAACAATCTGTTGAGTAACAAGGCATTAGTCACACAGAAAAATGTGTGTGTTTTTTTTCCCTCAAGTGTTGACCTTTGGATATCCAATTTTTTTAAGGACTCTTCTTCACTCTGGATCTAGCTTCTACAATGCTGCCTGTCCCTACAAACAGAATCTCCTTATGCCCTATCAAGATGTTTTTCATCTTCCTCTGCATCTCAGAGCAGGCTGATCGATGCTTCAGTAATTATTTGACAATTTGGATTTCCCAGCCACATAATACATCAATTAAATGCAAATGCAAAGGTAGGGAATCTTAGTCTAAGTCAAAAACATCAAAGGAAAAGTGACATTAACCAAATTACCTTATCCTGTTTTTCAAGATGTTTACAGGCTAATGTAGTTAGAATGAGAAAAGATCATTTGCACACCACCACCCCCTCCGCCCCCCCCCCCCCCCCCCCGCAGCCCCCCCCCACGGTACAATCCTCCAAAGATCACTTTAATCGTGAATATATTCCTACAAATAAAGTTGGGTAAAAATTCATTTGGATCTTATAGCAGAGTTGCTCAGGGAGCTAGATAAACTCTATCCTCCATCTCCATTCTCAATGAAATTGAGCCACGCTTGACATAAAGCATTGTTTTTAATGATAACTAAGGGCCATCGATCTAAATCTTTCTCTTTTCATAGAGGCTGCCTGAGCTGCTGACTATTTCCAGCATTTTCTATCAATTTAAGGCTGCCTGTTCCAACAGTAATTTCTATATTTACCAAGTGACTAATTACTAAAACAGCTTCCCCCCACCTCTGACCTTGTGAACAGTCTAAGGAAGGGACTTTTGACCCGAAATGTTAACTCTGATTTCTCTCCACAGATACTGCCAGACCTGCTGAGCTTTTCCAGCAATTTCTGTTTTTGTTTCTGATTTACAGCCTCTGCAGTTCTTTAAGTTTCTGTGACATCAGCAACCTGGCTGACCTCGTTACAATCACTACAGTGATCTTCCGGTTAATGAGACCAGCCCTATGGTCCTCTGTGATGATGACAACTTTACCATATATGTTCATTATATGAGTTAGACAGCCATCCTTAAAAACACTTAGTCGTGCTATTTCCACAAAATAAATTTGGTTTCGTGGGTCTTTCTTCAGAAATGAATCCCTGACCAGTCTTTCACTTTCCTCTTTGCTGCACCCTGCTTTGCTTGACATTTGCTGATTGGAGACAGCAGTTCTGTAGATATTATCTTGCTACATGTTCTGACATTTTGCAAAGATGTTACCGCATTCTTCAATGATTGACATTTACATCAGTGTCTCTCTACCTGGCCCCATTACATACCACATGCTTTGCTTTGCCTCAGTCAGTGTTAACACTGGTTTGTTTTTAAACTCACTCAAAAGGCTTTCAAAACAATTTTACATCATGGAATATGTATATATTTACAATATAATATTGTAATATAATATTAACTCTATTTCTCTACGGATGCTACCAGACCTGTTGAGTTTCTCCTGTATATTCTGTCTTTATGTCATAAATATCACTGTTATATAAGATCAAGCCAGCCACTCCTTATGAAATCTTATCGCAATTCAGAAAATTATCAAGTTATCAGCTTCAAAGTTTTTTTCTATCAGTTTCAAGCTTCAGCTTTGAGAAAATCAGATTTCACTTATACAAACTCGTACATTTCCTCTCTATCTGAAATAAAACCACCTCAAAATCTGAGACCCATTTGTTGAAAAGTGCAAATAGCTTCCAGCTGAATTTGCTTTAATTGTTTTGCATGGTTAAGTTCTTTGCAATATTGCAAATCTCAATTTGGCCAGCAGATTCATTTTAATCTGACTTAAAAATAACAGCAACCCTGATTCTCATAATAATTACGGAGACAAAATTTTGTCTTTGCAAGACAAGCGAGACTGACTTTTCAAAAAATCCCTGAGAAAGTTGAGTTTTCTGGAATTGCTCCTTTCAAAGCTTCATATTCCTGAAAGTATATAGGTAATCTCCCATTTTTATTTAAACATACTTTTTTGACATCACCACAAGTGCTGAAGCATTAAGTAAGTAAATAAACAAAAGAGTTCTTTACCTGATTCAAGCGGAATCTGTTCCAGCACTTTCAGTCTGTGTAGATTTTAAACAATAGTTGAAAAGTGGTCAAACCTGATAAGTGAACGATAAGAGTCATAGAGTCATAGAACTGTACAGCACAGAAACACACCCTTCAGTCCAACCTGTCCTCGCCGACCAGATATCCTAAGTAAATCCAGTCCCATTTGCCAGCATTTGGTCCATATCCCTCTAAACCTTTCCTATTCATACACCCATCCAAATGCCTTTTAAATGTTGTAATTGTTCCAGCCTCCACCACTTCCTCTGACAGCTCATTCCATACACGCACCACCCTCTGCATGAAAAAGTTGTCTCTCGGGTCCCTTTTAAATCTTTCCCCTCTCACCTTAAACCTATGCCCTCTAGTTTTGGAGTCTCCCACCCTGGGGAAAACACCTTCTCTATTCACCCCATCCATGCCCTTCATGATTTTATAAACGTCTATAAGGTCACCCCTCAGCCTCTGACATTCCAGGGAAAATAGCCCCAGCCTATTCAGCCTTTCCCTATAGTTCAAACCCTCCAACACTGGCAACATTCTTGTAAATCTTTTCTGAACCCTTTCAAATTTCACAACACCTTTCCAAGAGCAGGGAGACCAGAATTGCACGCAGTATTCCAAAAGTGGCCTCGTCAATGTCCTGTACAGCCACAACATGACCTCCCAACTCCTACACTCAATGCACTGACCAATAAAGGCAAGAATACCAAACACCTTCTTCACTATCCTATCTATCTATAACTCCACTTTCAAGGAACTATGAACCTGCAACCCAAGGTCTGTTTGTTCAGCAATACTCCCCAGGACCTTACCATTAAGTGTATAAGTCCTGCTAATTTGCCTTTCCAGTTAAACCCACAACCTTCCAACTCAGGTGAAAGTACAACCCAATGAGTTTGGTTAACACCTGTACGCGATGATGTCAAAATGCCTTGAGCCCTGCCATTGAGAAAATCGACCAGTCTTTGATTCGCGTATTTGTTTAGTGCTAAATAGTTTACTTATTCTGGTTGCACTTGGTGATTGATGCTAAAGTTCATTCCGTACTAAAAATAGATTACATTCAATGTTAAAGATAGTAGGAACTACAGATGCTAGAGAATCTGAGATAACAAGGTGTAAAGCTGGATGAACACAGCAGGCCAAGCAGCATCATAGGAGCAGGAAGGCTTCCTGCTCCTAT